GCACGTGGGTGGGTACCCTGGCGCGCCACCAGGATTTTATGAATTCAATGTAAGTTTGAGCCGGTTCATATTACATTTATTTGACACCACTTTCGATAGAATCATGATGTAATTGAACTCCTCCGAGAATGTGCGGCCATGGATGGGGTTGCCATTCCATGGTTGCATCACCGATCTATGTCTCTTTGCTACCCACCCGAATCATCTCTTTATAAACTATATGGTCACCTCGCTGAACCTATTCGGATCTTTGGTATTTCTGGCAAGATTTTGAACCACTTGATTCCGTTGAGCGAGGCTTCGCTTAATGCCCAAATCCTTATGGAGGCAAAATTAGATGGATTGCCAAAGAAGGTTGGTGGGTGGGGTCGTGAAGAGATCAATTACGAAGCTGAATTCCGCGAACCTAATGTCCGTAATGGCGTTGTGACATGCGCAGCACTCTCAAGAGATGGTCGATACGTTGCACTCGGGTTTGGTAGTGGTGTTATTGAGATTTCTGATTTCGATGATCAGCGTACAATATCTCAGTTTCAGAACCATCCATCCAATCCACCAGCATGGATTGAGTTTATCTACAGTGGTCATTGTGTCGCTACCGAGGATATCGATGGGAACATCGCTATCTACGGCCATGGTCCGCTCCCTGTGAAACTTGGCACTCTCCCCATAGGTGCCTATCCCGCTGTAACTGCAGTCTCAGATAGTGGATTCTTCATCGTACGAGTCCTACGGGACCCAGGCAAGCCTTGGTACAGCAACATGGCGTGTATATACATTTTAGGTGACCCGCACATTCAGCCGCTTGCCCCTCCTCCTTCCGACTCTTCCATTCCATCCTCCCAATCCAATTCTGAGCCAGCCTTTCCTGAGCGTCACACAATTGCATTTTCTCCAGGGGCACAATACATTGCTGCCTTTGATGGGCACAGTGCTTTCACCTGGTCGACGGAATCGGGTGATTTTATTGCACGTTATGATGTACGGGGAGATAGATCTTGGATTATAAATCCCGGAATGGCCCCTACTTGCCCGTATCACATCGCTCATCCGGTATCTACTCAACCTACTCTTCCATTGGCAGGGGATTCAGTCTATGCACATCATTCCTGCGTGGACGCGGGGCCTGACTCGGATGAGTCTTGGATCAAGCGTCCATTTTTCCATCACTTGCCCAGGCAGCAATCAGGCTATTCATTTGCCGCAGGAAAGACCCCACTAGTCGATGATTCTTATACAAACATATGGTTCAATGGAAGTTCCCAACTTGCTTTCCCAATAGAGTATCGCCCGGTTTCTCTCAAGGCAAACAGCACCAACGGCATGGAACCCTGGTATGGCGATCGACGGGTCAGTTATATAAACGGTTTCTACTGTCCTCAGTCCAGCAAGGATGGTACTCGATTTCTACTCCAGGGAAAGATGAAAGCTCCCATTGTCGTCGATATTGGTCAAACCACTTGGTATCCGGGTGCTATGCTTGATTATGATTTCTCTGTGTCTAGCGATTATCCCCCTTGCAGCACATCATCCGACATCTCTTCTCCCTGTGAGGAATTATCTGACGATTCTTACTCCGAAACATCTGATAATCCCGAAGATTGACTGCTTTAGCGTTTCACTTTTGTATAGGACTTCGCATCGTCTGTTTATTTTACGTACATCTTTGCATTTGTAACTTTATAAAATCGTTCAAGCATGATATCAATAACGATATTCTGGTACCCCGTGCGTGGTAAGGTCTTATGAAAATTTCTAGGCCATATCCTTGTTACGCATCTAGCTAGTCGAGCAGCTTTCGCACCTCACCCCGATGCTTCAAAATATCCTCTTGTAAGAACGAGGAGAGCGTATCACAGATAGGGGATGCACAATTCCCCTCTTTTTGTTCTGGGGAACGGGTTCTTCACTCCCTCCAGTCCACACGAAAAAAAATTTCTCGATATCGAAGCCATTGATCCCAATAAGGAGACCAGCCCCCCCCCAGGCTTTGAAGATGATTTCCCTACTCCATGAATCAAATTGACAGCATTTTTTGAACACGGCTGCACGAGTTGGCGAATTTCCTGTCTCTTTTGATTACTCCCTTTCTGTTGACCCGGCTTCTGGACATGGATATATTCGCGCGCACTGTAATTTCTACTTGGTAGGACTCCAGCCTCATGCATGGGGTCGCTCCTCCACCAGATCATGGTGCTACTGGCAGGTGGGCCCACCAGAGCAAGTCAACTTCGAATCCTCAACGCACTTGTGCGGCGTCCCAACGAATGCATGACACGCTCATTCCAGCGCAGGAACAACCTCCACTCTCTCCAATCCCAGGGGCACTCCACGCGTTGTTTTGGACATCCACTGTGACCTCAGCGCTGCAAACCGGATCGGTCATTATTGCTGTGGGATAGTATTGAAGGTTCGGATCAGCATTGTTCGTTACAGTAATGCAATCGGTTGTTAGGGCAAACATAGGTTAAGAATGAGGGTAAATTTCGTTTTTGGTTTGGTTCACCTACTTTGACATGAAGGGCTGATAGCCCCAGCTTGGAAACTCTCGCTCGTAGTACCAGCCACGTCCGGACTGCAAGTAATTTGGGCCACATAAGAAATCAGCCGCGACAATTGGAAGCAGAGCAAGTGGGGCGAAGGCACTCCAGAATCGCATTGCGACTTTCAGAAACTGCTTTTATTAGCGGGTAGTGCATATGACGTGAGTAGCTACTAACCTTAGTTTCGAGCGCAAGTGCTTGAGGGACAGAGGAGAAACGGAAGGGAAACCCAGCCAGTTATGTAGAAGGCCCCCCCTGTCATTTGAGGCCGGGAAGAAGGCTTGGGCATGGAGGATGATCAGAGGCTCAATTGTGGGGTCATACTGCCAATTTGGAAGTGGACTAAAAGGGCATGCAACGGGGGATTCAATCTGCGCCCTCGACAGGCAACTTGAACCACTACTATACATGATTGCTGCTAATAACGTTCTGTCAATCACACGGATGGGGTCAACACATGCTAATTGCTCGGATAGTCGTCATCCTCGTCGAGGAGGAAATAGCGGTAAAAGTGTTTTCGCACGGTAAGTAGAGTGTCGCTCGCATACTTGGAGATTACTTCCGGTGCGCTTTTTTTAAGCAATTCAAGCCGTCCGACAATGTCCCATACTGGTAAGCCTTCCCTTGCGAGCAGTGGAAGGATATGGTCAACCCCCACATTCGCGTATCGGTATTGAGACACATATGGAACTGGCCAGTAAGACGAGCTAAAGATAATATTTTTTCGCTCTGCTCGTGTGTAGTCTATGGGGTGGTTCAGAGCTTGAAAGTTGCCATCAGCAATGCGTCGTTGGAAAGCTTCCCAGTCGGTGGAGCACCGCGCATGCCCTACCATTAGCCGACGATGCTCCTTGTCCGTTAAAGCTGGGTCACGGGTCCAACAAATACATGGCCCCTGATTCAGCATGACCTGGTAATAAGCAGATTCCCAATACTTCCTTCGACCAGAACGTGTTCCCTCATCCAGAAGCAGTCGATCAGACAAATTGCCCGATCGTGACATCACCAAAACTAACTCCCACGCGGTGTCCGAGATAGCAGCGGAGTTGACGGCGATTCCGGCACGGAATACATCAAGGGCCGTAAATCCGTTGATGAGATGTGACTCAAGGACGTTGGGTTGAATCAGTTTTTGTGCGATTTCCATAGCTTTGCCCTCGATGTCCTCTGCGCAATACTTGTGCGCAATACAGAGCAACTCAAGGACGGGCTTGAGCTTGGGTTCAGGGCTGAAAATGCAGGATGACCCAGAGCTTGAAATGCGAAGTTAAGGCAGGGTTAAATACTATATACAGTAACGGAAACGTACTCGTAAAGATAGTTCACAAAGGTTTCAAATGCCTCGGAAGAATCGTCAAGAATAACGGGTTCTGGTGAAGAACACTCATTTTCCCCCAAATCGGGGAATGCAGCACTGCATTTAGTGAGGAGAGCTTCGGGGACCTTGAAAGTGGCAAAGTTCGCGTTCGGGGTTAGACAAAGCAGTCAAGCATTGAATGCGCACCATAAACACCCTTCCTTGCACAGAGAAATTCACATACCCCGTCGGTAGACGCGTGGAGAAATGGGATTCCATTTGGCAATATTCCTCTGGGTGGAAATCGTGATTAATATATTGCGTTTCTAAAGCGGCACTTTCCGCAACCTCAATATTAATGTCTTTCTGCGCAGAGTGATTCCCAGCTAGGAGATGTAAACAACTACCTGGAGATACAGCTCTTTATACATGCCTGGATAAAAAAGAAAAGCTTTGATGTAAGTTGTTTGCCACACTCAAAATCATCCCCCAGCATCGCCAGTTATGTGGCGTTCTCGCCACCGCCATACAAGGCAGGTGGCACCACACGGTCAACACTCCGGCCCAACGAGTCTCTTTCCATCATCACATGGGGCTCCTTTCCAAACTTACCTTTATTCAAGCTAGCGTCACATTCTATTCGCCCCTTGTTTTATCCGACAGTGTTAGGCAGGATGTCAAAGGGTAATGGGATCTTCATAACTTTTCGATCCACTTGCTTTTGGCCAGCTGAAGGCACCCTAGCCCTGTGATTCGGTCACTTACAACAAACCTCGTGGCGAGCAAAGTCAGGGAAATGAGGCCGTGGGGGTAACAGACTCGAGTTTTCATGCGGAGCCGGCCGAGAAAATCTGTATTGCTCTCGGCTCCGATGCAAATGTGCCAAGGAACCAAGGTGACGCGGCAACCGGTTGAGTTGTGCATAGGGATGATTTGACTGTTCCTGGAGGCCACCGCGCGTGGAGGCGCCGTCCGCCTCTATTACATGGAGGTCATGTCTGCTAAACTCAACGCTACACGGGAGCGTAAGTCCAACAACGAAGCAGTTGATGCCTTTGCCAAGGTGGAACCCCGTGTCACACTTCATGAGTCGGTACACCTAGCTTCGATCTTATTGCAGACATCACCAGGAACGAATATATATGGCTTCGAGTCTTCGAAACTTGATCACGAGTTTGCCTGCACGGACTCCTTGACTCCTCGCCCCTTGATGTATCTGCCAACTTCCTAGCTACCTCTTACTTACATAAAACAAAGTACTATTCCCACACATTGAGATTTCTACGTAATGCAAGCTAAATTGCCCTTCCCTGGTTCATAGAGCAGCCGGCCGGAAGGGTTGGTCCTTTATAGAGACAACAACGACGAACCCCCACCCCCCACTTCACTACACCTCCCCAAAGGATGTCTATGCTGAAGGGAATCCTCTTTTGCCTTTTTGTGGTTTTGGCTCTCGCTAACGTCAAGCATGGCTTGGAGCCACCTCTGAAGCATCCACGTCCACGTAAACCTGGCCATGCACATCTGAAATACTGCAAAGGTGTACCTGTTATGGGACTCCTGACCATCATAAACGAAAGCACCTAAAACTGTTATACTATAGCCAATACGACATGCCCTCCTGGCCATGTCCCTTTTGAGTGAATTTGTTTTCTTGACTTCCCCGCTTTGGTGCTGATCGTTCGACCCCCCTCCCAGCGCTGTCTATCTCGAGGCTTATGTCCGAACTCGATACAACGACCCCTACACAGGCTACTATTCCTTGGTTTCAAAGAAACTGAACAAATACGGCCAGTTCACCCTCACGAACAAAACCTCAGAGGCCGTCATTGTCCATGTGGACATCGGCAACTTGGTTGATGGATTTACGAATGCGGGATCCATCACGACCTATAATGCGGACTTTCCCTCTCTCAACCATATCGGTGGTAAGTTGCTTTTAGTTTGCTTTAAAACATAGCGATCCTGTTGTTTACTCTTTCCCATGTTCGAACTTTAAGCTGTTCTTGGATACGGTTCCAATGACTCGTATATCCGGTTCGAAGGCTACAATTACTACTCACTCTCACCTACGACCGTCACCCCGAAGTTGTCCAAACCAGTATCAAAAGGTTACTCCGCATATGCGTCAGTCGACATCCCCCACAACGGCATTTCCATCGTGATGACATGACGTTTTTCTTCAATGTGTTCACTCCTTTCGTTCATTTCCCGTTCCCCCTCGTAGATACTTCACGGGAATCAACGCTCCAAAAGAATCCAGCATATGGAGCATCGTCTACCACCAATTCGGAGCAGCCGGCCACATATTCCCAATATGGTACAACCCCACTTTTGGAAAAGAAACATACAATTCCCTCTATTGGTTCCCCAAAGAGAATGCCCTATTTGGAATATCAAATTACGTCGTCGTGTCTGAACATTTCCATAAGAAATATGGAAGAGATTTGTTCTATGCGGTACGTGTGCATTTTGTCTATAACTTTTACTAATCTCTTCTTGGTCTCTGATGGTGCGTTCATCTTTTGACTTTTTATCTAGGATATCGTACCAAAGTCGATCCATAATTACGTTCGAGGGCCACCCAATCAGCCACCACCTTAAAACTCGAACCTCGCGACCCATGCACCTTATATGCCCTACAAAGATAGTAAAAATTTCCTGCTAAATCAAATAGTCGTTACAGCTTTGTGTGACGCACGCAGCTTTGGTGTCTGATGAAAGAAATTGGAAAGAAATACGAGCTTTACAACTGACTGCACGGCGTCGTCGACTGGAACAATTCCCCAATATATCCTGCTCTCATCGTGAACTAGCACATCAACTCCTGGCCTATGCTTGCTGAACTCACAAAACGTTATTTAGTACAGCCAACTAACTGTTGTGAATACATATTCGAGCCAATGCCACATAAAATCTCAATTTGGAAAAAGAAGTGAGAAGTACTGTGTACATTGTAGCTGCCACACGACATCCCCTCCAACTCGATCGAGAGTCAGGGTCCAAGGATACAACATGGTGCAATAACCAAATGATGAGCGGGGTTTTTTTCTTTTTCTTTTCTAAAAAAAGGTTAGATCGATGGAAGTGAAGCTTGTTTCATTCCCAAGATATCTGTCTCATCCTCCACACACGAGAAATACTGAGGAAGCATGGCTTTGACCCATTCCCTAGTGTCGTTAACACATTCAACAGAGCGCAACCTGCAGGATTCGCAACGGTGGCCAGGAAGTCCACGAACACCGGCTCGTCATCCAGATACGATAGATTTTGCACGCTAAAGAATTTCAAAGGCATGGAATTCCGAGGAGATTTGAAGGACCTGCAATACCGCTTCCAATGTAGGTCCTCCCTGGGCTAAACAAGAACGTCAGGGACTAAAAATTATTCTCCTGTGTGTAAGGCGGGATACGTATGTACTCACTCTATCAGCACCTCAACGGATTCGCCAAAAGCGTTAGCAGAGCAGTCTAGGAAAACGGTCCTTCCTTTTGCTTCTTCGCTCAGCCTTGATAGGTCATCACTGTTGGAGGAACCGTGTGACGAGTTTTTGTACAGCCACATTCCCACATCCGAGCCAGGCCAGTCAGCCAATTAACCCACCCTATCAAGGGGTGTTTTTTACGCTTCAAATAGGGCCTAAACGGCCTATTTCAATGTGGACGTCCTGGGACGTCCTGGTGATGCGGCTTGTTGCCAAAAATGGACTGTGGGAAAATATGAGGATGTCCTGATAACTATGTGCCCCGCGATGTTGTACATACGGCTATTTACATAAATAGTAGACAGGAAAATGGAAAAGATAAAGGGAATTAGGGCCGAGGTGGGGGAATGGCCAATGTTTCTCAATGATTTCGAGCATTATACTCTGCCATGGTGCTTTCAAGGGGATTTTTAATGCTTATAAAGATTTTGGAGATTTTACAAGCCATTGTAGATAACCATATCCGGTATGCACCTACTATGGGTAGCTTGAGAGGCTGGCATCTCTGCCAAATCTCCACCGATTTGGAAAATCCATCGCTTACAAGTACATACAAGCTCTGGCTAACATTCTGTAAGGAAATGTATAACCTTATAGCTAGGTATCAGAATGAAGAACACACATGTTATGTCGCATGTAAGCATATATATTACCACATTCAAGTTCTAACATGTGTTGTCATGAATATTCACCGAACATGGATTGCGTGGGAAAAGGGAAAAAGTCGACATTCAGAGTCTCTCAGGAGCCTTAAAAATATGGAAAAATATCCTGAGTGCCCGTGGAGAATATTCTTCCCATAGTACCAAGTTTGAGAGAAATCGATGACATCTTTGTCAATATATTTGCAAGTTATGCCGATTGATGGCAACACAATGAATAAAGTTGACGATCTTCACAACGGCTGAACAAAATCTCTCCGCTACAGACTAGTTCGACTCATTTTGATAACAGCTTTTCAATGATACAAAATATGTGTAAATCGACGAAGAAATGGGGGAGAAATGGAGGAAATACTGCTGGAGCAGCCTGATATGAAAGAAGGTCGACGCGAAACCAAACCGTCGCTTTCCATGCCTTTTTTTGAGCCACACTAACTTCTCCTCTCCTCCAGCTTTCCAACAAGCTCAATTTTATTCAAATTGGCCCTGTGGTTCTTGAGGTACCACCATTGACAGGTGCTGTCAAGTCCACGTGAGATTCAGCATGGTGTTGAATCAGAATCTCTACTAATATTTGTCCATTAAGCACGAAAATTGGCATGGTAGGAGATCTAATTGTGCTCTATCGATCGAGCATAAGAACGTTGGGTATAAGTGGAGACCGTCAAGTAAGAAGTTGAAAGTTATGCTGTGCATGAGAATCCTGCTTAGGAACTGAAAATGGTTTCAGAAAAATAGAAAAAAAAAATTAGAAAGAGCGAGTAATGTGGGTCTTAAATGGAGGTGCGAATGGAGGCAATACTGGGCCTGTGCGCTGTGTGGCTACAGTGTAAAATCCATAAAAATAGTTATTTTGTGGTGTATGAACCTTTCCCTGTAGAAACAAACAGAAATAATATGCTATGGTAGCTTCAAGAACATTCCAATTGGGTTTAAGAAATGGAAAACACTAATAAAAGAAATTGAAAAAGACAGAAGTGGCCTGGAAACCCAAACTTGTGTTGAAAGCCTCAACCGCTCCCCATAACCGTTCTAACTTTACACCATTCAACTATAATAAACCTTAGCTTTCCAATGCAGTTGGTCTCATTCCAAATGGTGGAGAAATGAGCAAGATAGTATGGGAGGAGCGGGGAATACATTGTGCATTTCCCCTATCTCACTGAATAGTAGTCCAAATGTCCTGAAAGTTTGTGCACTACAATACATGTCCTCAAAGTAAACTTGACATATTTTCTCGTATTTTTTTGACATCTGAGAGGCACTGAACTTTGACCTTGCATGTCATTTCCCACGCATGCCACTCCCGTGCGGTGTTGAGTGAACCGAGAATCACACATTTCTCCATCAGTTCTCAACCATTTGCCATCGGGTTTTTTGCGATGAATTCCTCTCAATCGCCTCTTTATTTCTTATTATTACTCGAACCCATGATTCTGCGTGCACACAGCTCCAGAAGTGGATTGTGAATTAAGGACATCGTTACTTGAACATTTGAATTGAAAGTGAATTGTCAGGACATCTCAGGACGTCCTAGGATGTTCCCATACAAAAGAGGCCTCTAGGCCCTCTTCAAACGTCCTGAGAACCCCCCTCTATAGGTCTAGATATCGGTTGTCCAAGGTGTCCGAGCGAGGAACTCGCACGGAACTTGAAGCTTCCGGTTATGAACAAGATCCCCTTCGTCATCGGTTGGTCTCCCCACAGTGAATACGTTTAAACGTTTCCAACACCTTGATCTGTGCAGTCAATGTGCATGCCACATCATTTCCGCGCCCTCGCCTTGACGTCATTAACAAGCTCCGACCTCCCTAGTAGGACCAAACGGAATTATGCCCAACGCTTCCAGGGACAACTGCCAGGAGGCATGTCCCTTCAATTGGCTCGTCGATATTGTCCTCCTTGTCGTCGTTATCATCCCAATCAACGATTATTGCTTCTTGGTGCTATTTTGGGTGCTGCGGGACTATGGAAATTCGCTCTGGCGGCTGGACTCCAGCCTCTATGACTTCTGACCCCCAGAATAGTGGTATTTAGAGTTATCAATATTCCTATTGCAAGTGAATCGGTCTCCGCTCTCGCACGAGGGCGCTTTGAACGACAATGACGGCAATGGTCCTTCTGAAAAGGCTGAAGCATCGACCGAGACCTCAGCTGGATCCACGTACTACATTGACTAATGTTTCATTTGGGACCGGAAAACGGCGGAAGAGTGTGCTTGGTCAAGTCCTTGGAACACTCAATAAGGCGAAGGATAAGGAACCATGGGCTAGCGAGTCGAAGTGAGTTCTTTTCGCAACACCGCCTCACTCCCCTATACAGGTTCGTTGAACCATCGGTTGTTACCCACAGGCTAAGAAGTGACAATCCACTGCGTTCAAACTGCTGGCGAAGCTTTCGCGTGAACAGGGAAAAGCTGACTTTATTGCCCCGAACCGGAAAGAAGAGGTGCTCATAAAAGAGAGCATCATGCCTGGCAGGTCAAATGCCTGATCCCGAATCTAGCAAAGTTCGATTAACGACCGACACGATACCTAAAAAAGCAGCAGCTTTTTCCTGTCTTTCCCTGCAAACGATCCTCCGCCAGACGGCTCCACTGAATACTGCCCACCCACCAGCGATCTGCTATCTTCCGGGAATCCTCGTTCTTTCGCAATAACCATTCTTTGCTGGACAACGAGGGCAGGCAGGGAAGTGCATTGCGGAGGACGGATGAGAACGGGCAACCCGATGCTGAGAAAAGGGCTGAGGACGAAGTCATCTGGCGGGATTCTGAGCGACCTGATGCTGTGCAGGAAGAAGACATCATTGGTGTATGGTTTATTTACCTATTCTGCGGTACCCCTTCTGCTTGTGGCAATGGGCAACGGGAGCGCTCCCCCTCGTCGTGTCTTTGGTTTTTCGCTAAGCTATAAAGGATCTTTGTGTTGGTTCTCTGTTGGTGCTTGCAATTGATTTCTTGATTCTTTAATTGAAGCGCTTCCGTACTGGATTCCATCAGTTATCAGCTCGAGCCGAGTTGGCCGAGTCAATAACCTTGCACAAGGGCTGAACGTCGCACTGTACGACCTATGACTAGTTCGCCTTCGGAAGGACGTGCTTGATGTTCACAAAACATGGTGTTCTCTAACCTGAACAAGCGCATCTCAGTGCCAATGGTTTAACTTGTCCAAGAACTCAGGGTGCCGGGGGACCGACCACCCGCCGAACGCGTAGTGGGGCAACTATCACCGCTGAGACCAGCGTAGCCCATTTGATCTAGAAGGCTATCAGCGTACCACATAACACAAGTCCACTGTAAGTCGTGCAGTGCCAACGATTAGGAAGGAATTCACGGGCTATGGCATGAGCACAACGACACAATCATTCGCACATACATATCCTCGCTACTCTCGAGAAGAGTACCATGTGCTATTCCCATATTATCAAAGTCTCCGGAGATGGTGTGCGCTGACACAGGAAGTAAGTGCACACCTGAAGCTTCCGATTACAAATCCGGGATCCAACTCTGTGAATACATTTCAAGCATCTTCATCTGTCAGATGTCACGTCATTTGAATGACAAAGAGCCTCCCTTGACGTCATTACTGCCACTTTCGCCCCGACTTTCGTCGCGCACGCGGGTGCTAGGGCCAAAAATGGAACTGGGCCTCGTGCCACTCACTTCTCATGATGCTCCGGGGCGATCGCGCCTGATCACCAAGTTAAGCATAGCTGAAACCCACATCGGACTCAACCACATTGCTGAGTCAATCAAAGATTCAAGTCGACAGTGCCGCAGATTGATTCCGATATTCAGTCCGCTCACATCAGCAATTCTTTCCATCGAGCTCGATCAGCGCTGGACAGATCGAGAAAGAACCTCATGGAATCAAGAGATTGCGCATGAAGGTCCGCTGGTAATTTGAACATGCCAACATGCACACCCAGTAGGAGCGTGGTCTTATGCATTGTTCCACAGACCCAACTGCCGGAAGTTTGTCCTGGTCAACAGAGATGTGTGTCAGTCCTCAATGAGCTTCCGGAGTCCGGTTCCACTACGTACACTCGGGAAAAGAATCAGAAGATCGCCGCCTCCCTGAAGCCGCTTATGCCACCGATCATTCTTCACCGTCAGCCATATACCTTTCATCTTTGTCTGAAAACAGACCAGGACTTTGGGAGACCAACTCGTGCTCGAACATCATTCTATTCCCTGGGCTTGTCGGTGAAGCTTCTCCATCAACCATCTCCCAGAAACCTCACTCTAATGCAATACACCAACTGTACTAAGTCCACTTATCAGTCTTTCAACACATAGTAATCGGGGGCGTTGGACATTTGATCGACGGGTGCCAATACTTTGGATGTAGCGAGTATCGGCGTTTTGAAACAGATTGCTACTAGGTAATGAGAGTGTTGTGTCATTTACGTACCTGTACATCCATAAGGAGGTGAAGATATAAAGGCGTTTGATGGCGGACGGGATAAGGCCAGACGGAAGTTTTGGTCGACATGCTGGTGTCCTTTACACTGTTACTAATTTCCTGATTTTCCTGGATGTATGGAAGACACTCATATATTATTTCTCGGCAATTACGGAGCCGTTTAGTAGGTCCCAAGCACGTTCACCGGATCATCGTCATCAATGCGCCTTCTGCAGCGCGAGCGATGTTCTGGCTCTTGAACCACAGGCAGCTGGTACTCCATGGACCGCGGGATCCGATGTTCAGAACGCCTCCACTTCATTTGTTGATGGTTTCCAGTGGTCTATATATCGCAACGTACTCACAGCCATCCTTCATTGGGATTTTGTAATATTTTGGACACCTTCCTCTTTCCAGGCCTACAGAAACCTGCACTGATTCCCATTCATATTTTAGAGCGTCCTTGGACGGTTTATTGCATTCCCAAACACTGAGGACTGACCCCCTTCCCTTGCCATGTGAATCGTTTAACAAATCTTCTTGAATGATGGGCCACTGGGGGCATCGAGTTGAATTCACAGATTCAACAGCTCGGAACGGCATGGCATTCCGTCGTGATGGTGGACACAGCGAGCTGCATGGTGCGTCTCTCACCTGCTGTGATGAGACTTTCAGATGCCCCCAACACAAATCTGCTAGTTTCATCGTGGGCAGGATTATGTAGCAACACTGAAGATGTACTCTATGTGCACACTGAACACCGAGTGCGTGGGTTGAAAGCATTTCTCTTTCGACAGTTGCTTGACCCGTATTCGCTGGAGATAAACAACGAGAATCCGTATGGATCCCATTTAAGCGATGGAGTGCTATATTCCTATGTCCGAGGTGGAGAATACGAAGACTTCACCGCTGCTTGGGATTAGAATCCTATCGCAGGCATCACAACCGACTATGGCCACACCCCACTTCATGCGATGAGGCACAAAGTCATGGTGTGGAAGATTTCGCGGGAGGTGTGTCCGATGTGAACTGTTGGTGTCGCAGCGATGCAATACACCAAACCTCTTACCAGAAGCTCCAAATTCCAGAAGGCGTGGTGCTTCTTTGAAGAGGTCCAACACGTCCTCGTTTCTTCTGCCGCTTCATTGAATTCGTCGCTCATCCGGAACGTCCTCGATTAGAAAGTTCATAACGTCTCACAGGTCTATGTGAACGAACAATTGGTTTCTTCTAGTGGAAATTACTCCTCGTTCTCGTCCCTATGGCACCGAGATCCTCTTCCAAAATAATACAGTGGGTGATACGCTCAATGCCGCCCTTCAAGTACGCCAGGAGAGCTGGGTGGCGCTCGGTATTTCTAGTTTCTACACAACCCGAGTGGTTGACATGTTCACCGCGACAATTGGCAAAGCACCTGGAGCCATGGTCCTGCGAGTTTCGTACAGTATCCTGGGGTGGAATATGATGATCTCACCTCGTATTTTCCTTCCCCGAAGGCGATGAGCGGCTCCCCAATCGTTCTGTGGAACGACGCAACCATCTCGACCGTTTTTGGATAGGACATGCGACACTGTAGAACTAGTCTTTGGGACTGAAGGTGGAGGATCGATCGACATCCCGTTTTCGGGACTCATTGTGACACCTGCAATCGACAAACCTTCGGTGGTCCTTGAAAAACCGAAGGAGAATGAGCTCGTCGTCGCGGATCCAACTCAGGGGCTCCAGAATGCCACGGCTACGATGTCTTTTGTTTAAGATCGTTGCACAACGAAGCCCAATAACACGGTTCATATTGATTTCCCCCAGAAGGAAGGATATCGGGGCAGGGCGTCAAGTATTCATTGTTCGCAGACGATCATGATTGTGAGTAGCCTGGCTGAGGGCCAAAATTACTATCATCGTCATCCTACATTTGATCTCGATTTTTCTATGTGTCTGTAGCAATGCCTTTATTTATGCTTGAACGCCCGGCGGGGTGCGTATTTTACACTCCTTGCATATGTAAAGCGTGAGGATGGACTCGGTAGGGCTACGAAGGCTTTATTTATTTATTTAGACTGCCCTACAGTGGAAGGGAAAATTCAACTTAGACCTAGGCGTTGGAAGAATCGAGAACATACCCCAATTTTTGAAATTCTAGACATCACAACCACATCCCCCGTAAGACTTGTAGGAGTGCACGATTGCAGTCGAAGGTTTTATTGGAGGTGGTGAGTGCAGGGCAAATGCAATCGCGCTTGCTGCGGCAGGGTATGGCGGTTTATACGGCTCAGGACCTGGATGCGGTTCGCATAAGCACAGGCAGGGCGGTCACACTAATTCCTACTTTTCAGTACGGAGTAGTAGCAGGTTAAGCGTGCGGGCGTTTGGCATAGCAGCGAGCAAGGCAGCAGGAGTTAGAAAGGGGACCCATCATTCAGGCGGAGTAGCCGAACTCTCCGACTAGCACTGCTGCAGATGGTATCGGATGGGTGATAATGGGGCTCGCGATGGCGGGCACTTCCGCGGCAAACGCGCAGGACCCGGTGGTATGTGCCACATTCAATGCTTACACACACCCTATTAGTCTAGTAAAATAGGCGTATTGAACGCCAATTAATCCATATCAGGCCACTAGCTTGAGGCCGATGCAAAGATATAGCCCCATTGCGTGAACACTACTTCGGTAACGAGCCTGGTACAGATCTTTCCATTGACTCTGTCGTCCGACTGGGCACCCCGCTTTGCAGTGTTGAGGTCACAGCGGATGTCCGGAACAACGCGTGGAGTGCCCCCGAGATTGCACAGAGTGGAAATTGTTCCTACGCTGGAGCGAGGGCGAGCTGCATTCGTTGGGACTCCGCACAGTGCGTTGAGGATTTGAAGTTGCTTTGCTCTGGTGGGCCCACCTGTGATACGCCTTCCGGGCGCTGAGAAGAGGATATTTTGAAGCATCAGGGGTGAGGTGCGAAAGCTGCTCGACTAGATAGACGCGTAACAAGGATATGGGTCAGAAAATTTCATACTGAGACCTCGTGCATGGCACAGTGTATCTATTGAGCCTCCACTACCTTAGTAGCTCAACGCAAGAGTGAGTTGGGCTAAAAGGCAGGAGAGGAACTATCTACCCCAGTAGATTTTTGCGCCAAGCAGTATAGAGAAAGCCAAGGAGTGTTCCCATAATGTTGAATTCGCAGCTGAACTACTTCGGGTGTCATGTACGACTGAAGCAGAGTCTGGATTTAGATCGGTAGAAACAGAGGAAGGTACTCGGGCAGTGCTCAAAGGGTTCATCAACGCCGCAGTTACATGTACAAAGAGTGGTGTGTAAATATCAAAGCCCGCATATGGGCCGGCCAGCTGTACAGAGTAACAGAAATGATGGAAATCCTTAGTTGCCTTGACCCCCATCCGAGCCAGTTGGTGTCTCAGACCGCGTAAGAGATTTCTCCGTCATAGCTCGAACACCGCAAGTGCCTCGAATGGATCGACTGCCTTCTGCAGTGGTGCATGGACGCTGAATAGAAATGTTGTATGTTCCTAGGTACGGAGCCGTAACGGAATATGTCTCTACACAGGCACGGTGGTCACTGAGCGGCAGAAAAGGTTCGGGCTCAAGATGTAAGATTTGTATGATTGTATTGAATACTGTCGGAGAGGCGTCTGTGAAAACGGGAATCGAGGCTGGCCTAAAACTCGAGCAAGGCAATCCCCAAGCCGAACGAAGACTTGTGCCTGGGTCTGATCAGAGAGATAGGAGAGGCGTGCTGGTGCGCAAAACGACAGCTGCGGTTGAGACATGCAAGACGGAGGGATTCAGTGCCGTAATGCAGCCTTGTTGAAATCCTACCAACTTATGGGACTAGATCACACACGAGGCGACGTGCGAGAAACTTGGGTGACTTGACAAGCAGGAGGGAGATCGCGATTACTGCCTCGAAAGCGAAAGAGGAGACTCGAGCGAGAAGCTCAAGGCTAATGAACCAACCAAAAACAAGTAATAAACGTCCCATGCCACGAGACTCCGAATGGTTAATCTTGGGATTCGGTCAAGGAACCACAAACCCTAGCGGTCGCACATGTTCCACCACCGGCGCTATCTTCCCCTGCTGCATGCATCCTTGGAGACGGTCTGGCAGGTTACTCAGGCGAAATATTGGGACTGGGGACATTAGGGTGCCATGGATGGAGCCTCAAGGGAAAGCATTCCAAATTTAACCTCCCATAAAGTTGAAACTGAAAGAGTACGTATGACCTGTGGAGACTGGATGCATATGAAACACGACAATTATCCGTTCGGTGGTTGTTGACAGACCCACAATACGTGCCCAATTATTATGCAAGGACAGGACCGCGGGCTGTTAGTCCCTTCGAGCCCGTTCCTGATGTGCGGTGGACGGCGAAAGGAGATACGTTATTGTTTTTTTTTCCGTCTTGGGTGTGCAGACCTTCATTCGATCACGTCTCCCTGTGTCACCGTGTCGAAGAAATGGACGGCGTAGTGAATCGGTCAAAACGAGGCGAGATCGGAACCACATGAGAACTTGATGCGAACTTGGCGGAACAAGTCCAAGGTTAAATTTGGAGCACATTGGCTTGGCATATTCGACCTCATGGGCCGAGACGACAGACACATGGAGGGGATATGAATGCTGCTCGTGGCTCAGGGAGAAAGGCTTCAAATGGACACGAAGCTGGGAAAGATGGGGAAAGCGGCTGCTTTCATCTTTTGGGAAGGCTCTTGGTATCTCGTCAGTTGTAAAAGGAGATTTGGGAGTAGGGGATACCGGTGTCTGACGTGCGAGGAGGTCAATGAAATGACTACCATGAAAACGAATTACAAAGAGTAACACCCACTGGACAACTACGCCGGTCATCATTGTTAGACGCCGAGGTCTTGTGCAACCACCAGATGACCAGGCTACAATTGCTATGAGGGTTCCCCTCAAACTGGATGGCCGAGCTTTGCAACGCCTTCGGCGCGGTTGAGAAGTGCATTTGGATCCGATGAAGTCCCACGGGGTGACGATGCGCAACTCCACAACGCGCTTTCCCACGGAGAAAAAAAACGAACCCCCACTGTAAACAAACGCCTCGCAAGCTCGGCCAATCATGCCGAACCAAGGCGTCTCCGCTGCAAGCAACCATCGTGCCACTCATAAAGGAGATACCGTGTTGGACTCCAGGCTATTGGCTACAGTCTATGTTCCTGAGTACAGCTCCTGGATCTTCTATGCTTTGGATTTCGCAATGACTCCACTACGGAGCAGCACAAAAACATAGATTAACATAACTTATGGATGCTGCCTGTCGCGGCAAGTGCCCGCTGCTCTGGATTGTCTCTTATTTGGGTCTTCGGATTACGGGTTATGTACAAGTGAACGAAAAATACAGAACGGTACGAGGATATTGGAGGCTGCGGTCACTCCTTTCAGGAAGGAAAATGGCAAGTCGCCGGCAAAACGTAAATCGGAGATCATGAACCTAGATTAAAGGGAAGCGTGCTCGGAGGAAGGTGGTGGAAGGCGTGCGGTTGGGTTGAGTATGGAGCTCTTCAAGACCTTTGAGAGATACGATGGCGACAGAAGTCTCGCGCGTGAGAAGGGGAAAGAATTGAACTTGAGAAGAACTTATTTGCAATTTTAGAGGACCTCTTGCACGGATCGCGAAAATTTGCAGGGTCCAGGTTCGTAGCTGTGGGATGAATTGATTTAGCGTACGGGAAATTTTTGATGTCCGATTGGCAGGGTTACCACTCACTTGGCAGGCCTATCCGCCGCCACCCCTTCCTTTCGCCGATCAGCTCACATGTCCAGAGTCTCGAGCCTACTTTTGCGCTCATCCCACCTGTCAATCTGAAGCCGCCTCCTCAGTTCAAGATGTAAATGAATCGCCCGCATTGAACGACTAACGTCACGGATAACTAGCTAGCGTTTGACCCGCCTGAATCGCCAAATGACAAGGATAGGGCGTCTCTGTTCTAATTTCCCACGTTGAATATCTGCCTCAAAACGCGTAGATTCTTTCCGTGGAAGTATCGGACATCTTTGTTCATAACCACTAATTTTACCGTAGGTACATAGATATCAACTTCAAGAAACGGTGCCCTATTTCCAAGAGGGAAAAGGCCCCTTTATCGGATCTGCGTCGTGGTCAATGGACGCGCCTTGCTTCAACCTTGTTTGACTAGTGATGACTTGTTTCCAAAATGGAAATATCTAATAGCCCTTTGTTCTCCCAATTGGATTTGCATCCCATGGGCGCCTATTTACTGCCTTTGGCATATATCAAGTAAATCGTGGCTGAGCAGGTCGTCCGGGCTTCCTCCTAGTATCCTCACCTCCTGCATTGATTACCGTCTACACTGGTGCGATGGCTCCCAAAAGAAAACCCTCGTCTCAATATCCCACCCTTGCGCCGTCCTCTGGTGATCCGCAGTCATCACAACCCTCGAGTTCTTCACTTCCCCAGATTCGTTTCACAAGAGCTCGGACAGACCAAGTCCATGACAACACCAGCTATGATAAGCTTGATGGTCCCCATCTTCAGCCTCCCGGGGCCCGATCTACTTCGCGACCCTCCAGCGGATCTAGGGGTTCGGAACGGTGGATGTCTCCAGGGCGTCCTATAACAGGGCTTCTCCGCAGAAGCCCCGACCCAAACCTATCGAGCGCACCGAATCTCACGGAGTCTGTACCGACTATGCCCGGCCATGCATCTCCGGGTGGTTCCAGGCCATCATTATATCTCTCCTCCCCAGGGAGTATAGACAACCGCCACTCGACTTCTACAATACGACCCATTTATGACCCCCGTGCAATCCTCAGCACACAGGAAAAATACATGGGTATGGATATGGACACCGGTGCGCTACCTCCTCCCTCGGGGGGAACATCATCGTCGTCCGCCATCTCAGCTGGTGGTAGAAAGGAAACGGCTATCGGCGCCACCACATTCATGCTTCAATCCGCATCCTCTGCTTTCAAATTCTCGCCTGTCCCATATGCCAGCCAAATTCTGGATTTCCTTGTGACGTTGCTCCAAGGTTATGAGGTCTGTGTGACATTTTGGTCTGGTGGTTAGTGACTGGAGTTGCTCATGTTTCTTCCACCCGACTCGCAGACCATTGACAGCAATCATAAAAATCTCGAGGGCCTTAATGATGAGGTCCGGAAAGCTTACACCACCATCTTGCGCCCACTTCAGCTCTGTACAAGCCCAATCCCGCCCGAAGTGATTTTCCTATTCAAAGAATTCCACTCGTACGTTGCATTCCCTTCCCTTGGCCGCTCATCTGACCTCGAAGCCGTTAATAGCACTCTGGAAGGCCACGTCGAGCGTATCGAGTCCCTAAAAATTCAGAGGCGTATCATGAAATTCATGTCGGCCACAAAGATAGCTCGGGACATAAGCGATGTGAAGGCGTGTATCGATACCGCAATTATTTCGTTCTCGGTTTGTAAAAATTTCTCTCAAGCGTTGAATGTTAGCCAACCAAATAACTTAACAGACGGAGGCAACGACGTTGAACCTCCTTCAGACGATTCAATTATCGGTGCAATGTACGTCTCTCAGGCTATGCATACCTTAGACCTCCCCCCTGCTAACACACTTTCAGCGGAGTTGTCGAGACTGAAGCCCGCCCCTTCTGAGCACATTCATGTGAAGAGCAAGTCAGAGTGCCTCCAAACTACTCAGGACAAGATACGGGAATCCATACTCAATCATTTGAAGGACACGAAGAACCGATTTGTCTGGTTACGGGGATCCCCTGGGTCGGGGAAGACTGCTATAGCTATGAGCGTTGCATCCACTCTCGAAGCGCAAGGCACTCTGGCAGCGTCCTTTTTTTGGGATAAAAACCAGACTGGATCGGGCCTTGATTCTACCAAACAATTCCCTTCCACGCTCGCACATCAACTTGCATGCTTCAATGAGGACTTCAAGATGTCACTTGTCAGGCGCCTTCGGCAGCGAGATCTGCAATTGGTCCAGGATCTGCCGCTGGACAAGCAAATGAAGGCTCTTGTTATCGAGCCGATGTGTAATCTGATGGAGATACTACCTTCCGGAAAAGATCGCCTTGTCATCATCTTGGATGGCTTGGACGAGTGTGGAGATCTAGAAGCACTCGAATGTCTGATGGGGCTTGTCCTTATCCTTGAAGAGCTGCCAGCTACATTTGCGGTATTCGTCAGCTGTCGCCCCGAGTCACCGGTTGTATCGGCTTGGGATGAAGCTCGGGATCAGGGTCTTGTCGTACCATGCGAAGATGTGGATATAATTATGAAGGAGGAGAAGTACCACACAATCCGTTGCATGGTGGAACATGGCCTTCGAGATCGCATCAAGAAGTCTCAGTGGAAACCTTCGGAGGAAGATCTCCATGTTTTTACTTTGGCTTGTCGTGGATTGCCTGTTATAGCCTCAATTCGGATTCGTGAAGTCATCTTGCGAACACGGCATGGTCGCACACTGCAGACAGAGTTCCAGTACTTGCTCAATCTCTCCGATGCACCCACCGATCTCAACTGGGAGTACCTGCGAATGCTTCGAAGAGCCTATATGCCCGATTCATCTGCAATGCCTGCCGATGTAGCCAAGATGTATTGCCTATTGGTTGGCACGATTATTGCAGTGCATAGATCACTGAGTGTGTATTCTATGTCACAGCTTTTAGGAATTGCCAAGGATGAGGCCCGAGCCACATTAGAACCAATCAGCTCAATCATTGAACTCCCCTCAGATGACATGGCAGGTGTTAAATTCTATCATGCCACGGCGAAAGAATTCATAACAGGGGATCCAATTGGTAATGAAAATGACAAAATTTTTTTTATCAATGACAAGGAAGGGTATTTTCTGGGACCGCTACTCCTTCAGATTTTCAATAATTGTTGCAAGCGGAATGAATTTAGGATACCCACTAATCCCCCTCTTGGTGACAGAGAAAAATGGGCAGATTTTAAACCCTTCAGAGATCAACCCGATCACATCCAATATGTCATTGAAAACGTACTCTACCACCTGGACCCGGCAAAACTCTTTTCACAAGAGTCCAATGACAATGAATTCCAGAACGAGTTCAATTCCTTCCTTCTGCAAAACTTCCTTACATTCTGGCACATGCGAGGGGTCTCTTTCGTGCCAGCACGATTCCATGGATTCAATGTAAGTCTGAGCCAGTTCATATTACGTTTATTTGATATGGCATTGCTTTGATAGAATCATGATGTAATTGAAATCCTCCGAGAAGGTATGGTGATATATGGGATTGATCCATGGTTGCTTCACCGATCTATGTCTCTTTTCTGCCCACCCAAATCATCTCTTTATAAACTATATGGCCACCTCGCTGAACCTATTCGGATCTTTGGTATTTCTGGCAAGATTTTGAACCACTTGATTCCATTGAGCGAGGCTTCGCTTAATGCCCAAATCCTTATGGAGGCAAAATTAGATGGATTGCCAAAGAAGGTTGATGAATGGGGTGGTGAAGAGATCAATTACGAAGCTGAATTCCACGAACCTGATGTCTGTAATGGCATTGTGACATGTGCAGCACTCTCCAGAGATGGTCGATATGTTGCACTTGGGTTTGGTAGTGGTGTTATTGAGATTGCTGACATAGATGATCAGCATACAATCTTTCAGTTTCAGAATCATCCACCCAATCCACCAGCATGGATTGAGTTTATCCATGGTGATCATTGTGTTGCTACCGAGGATGTCAATGGGAACATTGCTATCTATGGCCATGGTGTGCTCCCTGTGAACCTTGGCACTCTCCCTGTGGGCACCTATCCTTCTGTAACTGCAGTCTCAGATAGTGGATTCTTCATCGTACGAGTCCTACGGGATCCAGGAAAGCCATGGTACAACAATGTGGCACATATATGCATTCTAAGTGACCCACACATTCAGCTGCTTGCCCCTCCTTCTGACTGTTCCATTCCATCCTCCCAATCCAATTCTGAGCCAGCCTTTCCTGAGCGTCACACAATTGCATTTTCTCCAGGGGCACAATACATTGCTGCATTTGATGGGCACAGTGCATTCACCTGGTCGATGGAATCAGGTGATTTGATTGCATGTTATGATGTATGGAGAGATAGATCTTGCATCATCAATCCTGGCATGGCCCCTACTTGCCCATATCACACCCCTCATCCAGTATCTACTCAACCTACTCTTCCATTGGCAGGGGACTCAGTCTATGTGCATCATTCCTGGGTGGATGTGGGGCCTGACCTGGACAAGTCTTGGATCAAGTGTCCATTTTTCCATCACTTGCCAAACCATGCAATGGGCTGTTCATTTGCTGCAGGAAGGACCCTGCTAGTCAGTACTTCCTTTTCAGCAGTATGGTTCAATGGAAGCTCCCAACTTGCTGTCCCAAGAGAGTATCGCCCAGTTCCTCTTGAGGTAAACAGCACCAATGACATAGAACCCTGGTATGGTGATCGAGTGATCAATTCTATCAATGGTTTCTACTGTCCTCAGTCCAGCAAGGATGGTACTCGATTTCTGCTCCAGGGAAAGATGAAAGCTCCCATTGTCATTGATATTGACCAAGCTGCTTGGTATCCAAGTGTTATGGTTGATTATGACTTCCCAGTGCCTAGTGATTATTCTCCTTGTAGAACATCATCTGACATTTCTTCTCTTTGAGACAAATCATCTGACAATGACAATTCTTCTTCCTAACCATCTGATAATCCCAAAGATACCTGCTTTAGCATTTTGACATATGGGATCTCACATTGTCTGTTTATTTTATGTGCATCTTTACATTTGTAACTTGAAAATTGTTCAAGTATGATATCAACAACAATATTCTTGTGCCTCATGCATGGTAAGCTGGCAGATTGAAACACCAAGAGCTATTGTCATATCCGTACAATCCCAACTCCTGCTCCAGGCTCCTGGAACTCTGAAACTGACTCCAGAGCCCACTTCCCTTTTGTCACCCTCTCCCTTGCCAACTCCCAAGAGGTTATCCCACCTCCAGCTCCAACATGTCAGGGTCATGTGTGCTCACAATGAAGGGTGCCCCAGAAACCTAATTGATATTAAAGCTGGGGGAGATGCCCACACCAGCACACAGTCATATATACACGGTAGAGGTGGTAACTAGTCAACTAGCTAGTAACCAGTAGTATTGGATCAAGAAAGATAGAAGATCATGCAGCATCATAACTGACAGCCACAGATCAAATCAGATTGGAGATGAAGAAGAAGAAAAGAAGTAGAAGCTGATGGAGATACATATGGGTCATGTGGCAATGCGCTACTTATGTGTCAGGGATGCGTCCGGGGTCGAGAGGGCCCGGGGGCAACATCCGGCACTGAGGCCGTTGCAGGGTGTGGAGCGGGTGTGCGTACTGGCAGGCCCGATCCGGGACAGTGGTCCCTGGCCACTCAGACTGAAGTGGAGAATGTGTTATTATTATTAAAGGGGAAAACTATACTACTTACCTGAAGTGGAGAATGTGAGAAGAAGGTTACTTCTTTGGTTCCCACTTCAGGTACATTTATGTACATGCAGCTTGAGTCACATGATGGGTGCCACGTCATCCTCGGAGGCAGCCGCAGGCATCCAGGTGTCCCCGTGGGGGATCCTGAGAGTGTCCGCTGCATGCGCGCATGCTGGGCACAGCGGGAAGCCGTCCAGGGTGTGTGGGCCGGACAGGTCAATAGTACATCGATACAAAGGAAGGTGGTCCGTGTAGATAGAAAGAAATAAACAGGAAGGGGAAGATGAGAAGAATGAAATAAAGAAAGGGGGAAGAAGAGGGAAAAGAAAGGGGAGGAGAGGGAGGAAGGAGGGGGGAGGGGGATAGACAATGGGGAGCGGGTGTGGTGTGGCCGGGTGGGTCCGGGTGGACCCGGGTCAGGCGGGTGTGCCCTGACATTATGCTAGTGACCCAAAGGTGTGCCCTGACACAACATCACCTTTGGTTTGACTCCAGACCATTCCGGGTCCAACCTCAACCACAACACCTTCCAGATGAGTATGCAACATCTATGCTCCTGACTCTGGACCTCCACTCCAGGATCCTGTTTGCATCTCCATCTTGGAATTCCGGTCTTAGCTCCAACCTCGGACTTTGACCCTACCTCTGCTTATGTTCATTGTATTGGTTAGCTGATTCCATTCATTTACCTTTGCCAATATTCTGGAGTTTGACTTGCAAGTCTGGACTTTCCAGACTTATTTTGGACCTTGCAGTTCTTACTGTATTGTCCCATTCAATTCTGCTATTCTCCCTCATTCCTATTTGGGCTGCTGCTTCTTTCTATTCAGTCAGCTAGCCATTCCTGACTCCCATCCTCCTTCCTCCTTGGGCCTTGGGCCTTCATACCTCTTTTGTGTCAGGGCACACACCCTGACTAGCCTGGACCCAGACCCGCATGTGCACTTGTCAGGGCACACCTGCCTGACCTGGGTCCACCTGGGTCCACCTGGCCCCACCTCACCTGCTGGCCTGCTACCCATCCCTCTCCCTCTTTCCTCCCTCTTCTCCCCTCTCCCCTTTCTCTCTCCTCCCTTTTCTTTATTTCATTCTTCCCATCACTCTCTTTCTGTTTATTCCTTCTATTTACATGGACCACTTTCCCTTGTATTGATGTACTGTTGACCTGTCCGGCCCAGGCACCTTGGATGGCCTCCTGCTGTGCCCAGCATGCATGCCTGCAGCGGATGCTCTTGGGATCCCCCACAGGGACACCCAGATGGCTGCAGCTGTGTCTGAGGATGATGTGGCACCCATCATGTGACCCAAGCTGCATGTACATAAATGTACCTGAAGTGGGAACTGAAGAAGTAACCTTCTTCTCACCTTTTCCACTTCAGGTAAGTAGTATAGTTTTCCCCTTTAATAATAATTCACCTTTTCCACTTCAGTCTAAGTGGCCAGGGACTGCTGTCTCACTTTGGGCCTGCCAGTACGCACACCCGCTTCGCACCCCAGGAGGGTCCCTCTGCCGGGTGCTACACCTGGACCCCCTCTACCCTGGACATGTCTGTCATATCCATGCATACCCGATCCCGACCCAACTCCTGGACCTCCTTCTTCACCACCTCCAGAGTCCTACCCTACCACTGTCCATTCCGATATTCATCTTCAGTCCTGACACCACACCTCCTCTCACCCCTCTTGCCACCACCACTCCTCCATCCTTCTCCTGTCCTATCTCTGTCTGCTCTGATACTCACCTCGGACCAAACACCACTCCTCTCGCCACCCTCCACCTACTCCTCCTCCCACTCCTCTGCTTCCTCCTCACAACACCTCCACCCTTCCTGTCATATCCGTGCATACCCGACCCCGACCCAACTTCCAGACCTCCACCCTCTTCACCTCCGGAGTCATACCCTACCGCTGCCCATTCCGATACTCACCCTCGGTCCTGGCAACACACCACCTTCTACCCCCCACACCACCTCTGCACCTCCTTCCCTCTCCTCCCCTATCTCCTTCTGCTCCGATACTCACCTCGGACCGAACACCGCCCCTCTCGCCACCCTCCTACTACTTCTCTTCCTCCTACTCCGCTCCTCCTTCACAACACCTCCACCCTCCCATCACCCTCCTACACTTCCCCCATCCGCTCCGATACTCACCTTCGGACCTGACAACTCTCCTTTCCACCACTCCTTCTCCCTTACCTTTCTCCTCTCTCCTCCCTCTGGTACTCTTCCGCCGGCCTCCTGCCAAGTTACAACCTTCCACCACTGTCCCGTACTTCGTACTCGGACACTGCTCGTACCTTTGCTCCGAGCCTCCGTCACAGTCCCTACCTCGGACTTTGGCTCCACCTCGGTCTTAGTCCATTGCATTGGTGACCTCATACTACGTAAACACCATTGCCAATATTCCTCGGACTTTCAACCCCGCCTCTGTAACCTCCATAAGCTCTGCAACCTCCGAGCTTCGCGGATCGCCTTTGGCACTTTCGCCGCTTGTAATGTATCTCTCGCATTTTCCCCTCATCCCTATTTGGACTACTGCTTCTTCCCATTCTAGCCAGTTAGTCATCATCCCCACTTCTCCTCATCCTCCTGCCCCTCTGGGCCTCGCCCTCCCTACCTCCTTTCGGATGTATCACAGGTCCTGCCTTATGACCTTCAGTACCGCTCTGCTTCTTCTGCCCTTTGTTCCCGTTCGGATGTCTTCGTTCCGATTTGGTTCCCCTTTGTTCCCTTGTGCTTTTGCCCCCTCCATTATATATATCGGCGCTTGTACATACTCGTTTTGGCTCAGTCCGAAATCAACCTGAAATGCCCCCTAGAGACTTCCTGCTCGCCTACTGTGAAATTAAGGACCAAATGGACAAACAGCAATGGCACAGCACTCCGCTTGAGTCGCTGAGGCCAAGGTCCCTCCACGCTAAGTCTCCGATTCCACTCCGGAGTTGTCTGTATCCACCCGTTTCTAACACTTCTGTCATTCTCCTACCCTTCGCCTGTCCACTCTGATACTCACCTTCGGACCTGACACCTTTCCTCCTGTTACAGGAATGGGTTCCGGGGAACCCAACCTGAGCCGTTCCGCTCATGGACGGAGGTGGCTGCGTAGCCATTGAGGGGAGAGCAGGAGGAGATCCGAGGCCAGGTGGGCTAATGGTAACTTGGCACTCCGAGGAGTGCAACAGCAGCAGATGTGGTGGTCTGCTAACGGTGACTTGGCACTCCGAGGAGTGTACCGGCAGCGGGTATAGTGGGGGCTCCTTGAGGGAGCCACCTAACAGTCGACTAGCGGTGACTTGGTGCTCATGTGAGCGTACC